ATATACATATATATATATATATATATATATATATATATATGTGTATGTGTGTGTATATATGTGTATATATATATATATATATATATATATATATTATATATGTATGTGTATATATATATATATATATATATATATGTATATACACCAGCATATAAAACGTAAATAAAAAATAAATAAAATAAAAAAGGTAACTCTCAATGACTTTGGGGAGTAGCTCTGCCCACTCTCCAGTCTATGCCAGCATTGATAAGTGTCGGAGCAAGAACACAGCCCTGCCTCACTCCTGACTTGCCAGTTTAGTAACTATCCATGAAACAAGAGGAATCAGACTTACGGTGTCGCCCATAAACCACTTCTTGTTGCCCAAATACTGTGATAATCTATTTCCAGTGACGTGCATTCGCCTCGTGTACTCGATCTTCTGGGTTTTCTGGCGGAACAGAAAATGTTTATTACAGAAAATGCTATTTTAATTTTCTTTCATCAAAATGATAACACTGTGAGAGAGAGAGAGAGAGAAGAAAATGAGGAGAGAGAGAGAGAGAGAGAAGAAAATGAGGAGAGAGAGAGAGAGACAGAGACAGAGACAGAGACAGAGACAGACAGATAGACAGATGCAGACACAGAGAAACAGACACAGAGAAAAGTAAAGACAAAATACCCACACCCTCCCCCTCCTTCCAATACGCACATAATTCTGATAGACGAAGAGACTGTAGTGGAGCCTGATGTCGTCGGCCACATGAGCCAACATATCGATGTTGGTTCGCTCAGCATCGGTCGTTCCGCACAGGCCATGCTTGCGGCCGACGTGCTTGAGGATGGCCATGCTCTGACTCAGCTTGAGGTCGTCCTCGATGTAGTAGGGGAGCTGCGAGTGAGGGGAAATTATGAGCGAGGTGAGGGGGAAAGGGTGATGATGGAGATAGGGAAAATGAGGGAGAGGGATAGAGAAATAATTAGTGATTAGGGAGGTGAAAGAGAAATAATTAGTGATTAGGGAGAGTGATAGAGAAATAATTAGTGATTAGGGAGGTGAAAGAGAAATAATTAGTGATTAGGGAGGTGAAAAAGAGTGGTGATTGGAGATTTAGGTGCTTAAAAGGGGTGATGATTGGTGGTCAGGAGTGAAAAAAAAAGGAATGAGGAGGGTCTTTTTTTTTTCCAAAATCGTGATGAGCGAGATTAAGAAATAAATGATGACTGGAGATCAGACATGCTAAGAAAGGGTGATGACTTGTTGAGAGGAAGACGAGAATGTAAGAAAAATGATGATGGAGGTGATGAGGATTGAGTGATGACTAGGGATAAGGGAGGTTTAGTAGTGATGACTGGGGGATGAACGAGATCTGACAGTGATGACTAGTGATGATGGAGGTATAGTAGTGATGACTGTGATAAGGGAGATCTAACAGTGATGATTAATGATGAGGGAGTGCTTAGTGGTGATGCCTGTGATGAGGGAGGTTTAACTGTGATGACTATTGGTGAGAGAAATTTAAATGTGATGATGGGTGATGAGGGATATGAGTATAAGGATGGAGGATATGACGGTGGTGACGGAGGTGATGAAGCTGTGGCGGAAGTGAGGGATATGAGAAGGAGGGTGATGACAGATGATGATGAGAGACATGAGAAGGATGATGAGGAAGGGAAAGCATGAGCTGGATTAATGAGGATTGACGATAATACATAATGATAACTAAAATATTATGATTGTAACCATAACAAAAATAGTAATAATAGTAGTAACAATATACACATTAATATTGATAAAGATAATACTAAATATATAATAATCATAAATAATGAATATAAAAAAACACTCTTTATACTTTATAGTAGTAACAAAACATGAGCTGGATTAATGAGGATTGACGATAATACATAATGATAACTAAAATATTATGATTGTAACCATAACAAAAATAGTAATAATAGTAGTAACAATATACACATTAATATTGATAAAGATAATACTAAATATATAATAATCATAAATAATAATAATAAAATAAATAAATAAATAAACAAATATCAAAATTTTAAAAAGTACTAAAATAAAATGAAAAAAAAAAAAATCCTTCCTTACATTAAATAAACAAATAAATATCAAAATCTAAAGAAAGTACAAACAAATAAAAATAATAAAATCTTTCCTTACATGAAATAAACAAACAAATACCAAAATCTAAAAAAAAAAAAAAAATATTTAAAAAAATATAAAATCCTTCCTTACATTAAATAAACAAATAAATATCAAAATTTTTAAAAAGTACAAAAATCAATCAATAAAATCTAAAAAAAAAAAAATACAAAAAAAAAAAAAAAAATGAAAAATCCCTCCTTACATTGGGGAAGTCGAGGCCGAGGTTCTCCTTCTCGCTGAGCCACTCGGTGGGGCCCTCCGTGTACAGCCGCTCCTCGTACTCGCCCCGTGTACTCGAGGAGCAGCCGGATGCTTTGGGCGAGCTGGAGGGGGAGAGGGGGAGAAGGGGGAGGTTAAAGGGGGGGGGGGGTAAGGGGGGTTAAGACGAGCTGGAGGGGGGATGGAGGGGAGGTTAAAGGTTTAAGACGAGCTGGGGGGGGGAGTGGGGAGGAGGATAAGGAGGGAGGTTAAGGAGGATTAAGGGTTTAAGACGTACTCGGTCCCCGTGTACCTCGAGGAGCAGCCGGATGCTTTGGGCGAGCTGGGGGGGGGAGAGGGGGAGGTTAAGGGGGAGGTCAAAGGGGGGGTTGAGCGGTTTAAGAAGTAGTGGCGGGAGGGGGAGGGCGGAAGGAGAGGGGGAGAGAGGTTAAAGGGGGTTTAAGGGTTTAAGACGAGGGTTAGAGGGCTTAAGACGAGCTGGGGGGAGGGGGCGGAGGAGAAGGGGGGAGGATAAAGGGGGTTTAAGGATTTAAGACGAGCTGAGGGGGGAGGGAGAGGGGGAGGTTAAAGGGGGGGTTAAGGGTTTAAGACGAGCTGAGGGGAGGGAGAGGGGGGTATTTAGGGGGGGGGGTTAAGGGTTTAAGAAGTAAGTGGTGGGGGTGGAGGAGGAGGAGAGGGGGAGGGAGGTTAAAGGGGGATTAAGGGGTTTAAGACGAGCTGGGGGGAGGGGGGGGCGGAGGAGGAAGGGGGGTTAAGGGTTTAAGACGAGCTGAGGGGGGGAAGGGGGGAGAAGGGGGAGGTTATAGGGTTTAAGACGAGCTGAGGGGGGGAGGGGCGGAGGAGAGGGAGGTTAAGGGGGGGGTAAGGGGTTTAAGAAGTAGTGGCGGGTTGGTGATGGTGGATAAGATAGATAGATTACTGAATAGATAGTTTAGACAAGGTGATAAATAGATGAATTGATAGATAGATCTGATAGCTAGATAAAGTGATAAATAGATGACCTGATAGATAGATAGATGGGCTGTTAGATAGATGTACAAAATGAGAAACGGAATGACAGCAGAGATGAACAGACAGGACAGGTAGTTTATGATAATAATTAAATAAATGAAGCTGTATTTTTTGGATTTATTGCTGATCTTTAAAACTGATGGATGAATAAACAGTGATTAGAATAACTATAAATATAGTTATAAATATATAAATATATATGAAATATAAAATAAATAAATATATAAATATGATTAAAAAACTATATAAATATAGTTATTTCACGCCCTCATCCATACGGGCAGCGTCGTGTGGGCGGGGTTGCAGCAACGTCCACAAATGTGTCACATCCACCCACGATGATGGTGATGATGGTGGTGGTGGTGATGATTGATGATGGTGATGATGAATAATGATGATGATGATGATGATGATGATATGATGGTGTGGTGGTGGTGGTGAATGATGATGATGATGATATGATGATGATAATGATAATGATATGATATGATAATAATAACGATAATAATGATAATAATAATAATAATAATAATAATAATAATAATAATAATATAATAATAATAACAAATAAAAAGTAAAGAGGAGAAATCGAAGAGGGGAGAGAGAAGAGTGTAAGGAGTGAAATGGAAATAATTTATAGATTTTAAAAGGGGAGCGAAAACCCCTCGCATAGTTAAACTATATTTATATTCTTCGGTCATGACTGGAATTGCTGTTGCCCAAGATATTACAAGAAGATATTACTGTTGGTATTTTGTATGATATTAATATTTTTAATTTGATATTTTTAATAATTTTAATTTAATATTTTTAATAATTTTAATTTAATATTTTTAATAATTTTAATTTAATATTTTTAATAATTTTAATTTAATATTTTAATAATTTTTAATTTAATATTTGTAATTTTAATATAAATAGAATTTAATATAAATATTAAATAATAAAATAATAGAGCAATTGCACTTTGCAGCGCGGCGTCAGCTAACGGGAGGGGGGGGGGGGGGGAGGGGGGAGGGGGAGGGGGGAGGGGGGTTAATGATACACTAGACTGGTTGCAAGCAACACGAATGTTAAATGTATTAAACACTAAAAAGCTTTTCATATTTCTATGTAAATTTTCTATATATATATTTTTTCATATATAAAAGCTTTTCATATTTCCTTCGGTTTGCCTGAATTACCAGAGATCTTCGTTACTGTGGAATTTATTTAGGTCTAATCGTTACTCGAATCAAACATATTATTAAGTGACAAGGGATATCGAATATTAAATTGAATTCACGACTTTTTGTTTTACTGATTTTCCCGTCGTATCATAATGTAAGACAGAATAAAAGATACTTTTTTTTAAGCGATGTGTATTTCTCAGATTCTTTGTTGGTGGGCGAGCCAATGTGAAATGTAATTATTGACACTCATTTTTTTTTCTTGATTTATGACTTGATGTAGACTGTTCCCAGAAAATTGGTTTTTTTTTTACTCGTTTCTTTGCAACAGGGACAGCTAGAGTGACGTCGGGAATCTTCTCCATTCACTTTTGCGGGTAAATGTGGACCGCTATCTCCCATTCTTAATTGATTATTTATTTCCAGTAAATATAATATTATCTACAGCTTTATTCACTACTTTCGCGCCGGAACTGATCTGGAATTGAAATGACATCCCTTCGTCCAGCTTCGTTATTTATCTATCCCGCAGTCAGTGTCTACATTAGGTCTGCGTCGAGTAAAAATTCCACATCTTTCCCCTAACTGGTCGAAGTCAATTAATTGTCCTAATACTACTCCTGCAATGACGCTTCTCTAACAGCCCCAAATAAAAAAATCCTTATCGGCTCTAAAGGTTGCTGTCACACTAGCACTTTTACCATCAATTTTATGACATTGTTCTGACATTTTCTCCGTTTTTTGAGCGTAATTGTCCGATTTTTCAGTCAGACGATATATGATCGTTTCCGTTGAAACCTCTCCGTGGGTGGTGGTCAGGGACGAGCACAGTCATGAGATTCGAATTTGGCATGCAATTAATATGTTGATGATGGTGCTTATGGATGTGACATGAAAGTGTATGTGATGATGATCAGATGGTGCATGATGATGGACTGATGGATGATGGAGATGATGATGATGATGGTGATGGATGATGATGATGATGGTGATGGGATTGATGGTGATGTGATGATGATGATGGTGATGGTGATTTGATGATGATGGAGTATGATTGATGATGATTGATGGTCATGATGATGATGGTGATGATGATGGTTGATGGTGATGATGATGGATGATTGATATGATGATATGAATATATAATGATAATAATAATGATAATAATAAATAATAAATAATAATAATAATAATAATAATAATAATAATAATAATAATAATAATAATAATAATATAATAATAATAATAATAATAAAATAATAATAATAAGTAAAAAGGGAAATCGAAGAGGAGAGAGAGAGAAGAGTGTAAGGATGAAAAATAATTTATAGATTTTAAAAAGGGAGCGAAAACCCTCGCATAATTAAACTGTATTTATATTTCTTCGGTCATGACTGGAATTGCTGTTGCCAAGATATTACTGCAAGATATTATGTGGTATTTTGTATGATATTAATATTTTTAATTTAATGTTTTTAATAATTTTATTTAATATATTAATAATTTTAATTTAATATTCTTTAAATTTTTAAAATTTTATTTAATATTTTAATAATTTTAATTTAATATTTTTAATAATTTTAATTAATATTTTTATAATTTTAATTTATATTTTTTAATAATTTTAATATATTTAATAATTTTTTAAATTTTAATTTTTTTTAATATTTTTAATTCTAATTAATATTTATAATAATTTAATTTAATTATTTTAATAATTTTAATTTAATATTTAATAATTTTAATTTAATATTTTAATTAATTATTAATTTAAATATTTTTAATAATTTTTAATTTAATATTTCTTAATAATTTTAATTTAATATCTTAAATAATTTTAATTTAATATTTTTAATAATCTTAATATAAATATGATTTAATATAAATATTAAATAATAAAATAATAGAGCAATTGCACTTTGCAGGCGGACGTCAGTAACGGGAGGAGGAGGGGGAGGGGGAGGGGGGTTAATGATACACTAGACCTGCCAGTGTTGACCAAGATGGCGGCGGTAACACGAAATGTTAAATGTATTAAACACTAAAAAGCCTTTCATATTTTCTATATAAATTTTCTATATATATATATTTTCATATATAAAAAGCTTTTAATATTTCCTTTTCGGTTTGCCTGAATTACCAGAGATCTTCGTTACTGTGGAATTTATTTAGGACTAATCTTACTTGAATCAAATATATTATGTGACCAAGGATACGAATATTAAATTGGATTCACACTTTTTTTTTTTTCACTGATTTCGCCGTCGTATCATATTGTTAAGACAGAATAAAGATACTTTTTTTTAAGCGATGTGTATCTCAGATTGCTTTGTTGGTGGCCGAGCAACGTGAAATCGTAATATTGACACTCATTTTTTTTTCTTGATTTTATGACCTTGATGTAGACTGTCCCGAATTTTTTTTTTTTTTTTTTTTTTTTTTTTTTTTTTTTTTTTTTTATCTTTCTTTGCAACAGGGACAGCTAGAGTGACGTCGGGAATCTTCTCCATCACTTTTGGTGGGAAATGGTCTTTTATATCTCTATTTATATTCATATCTTTTATATCTCTATTTATATTCATATCTTTTATATCTCTTCATTATATCTCTATTTTATTCATATCTTTTATATCTCTCGTCTTTTATATTCATATTCGTCTATTTATATCTATATATCTCATTCATATCTTTTATATTCATATTATTTTATATTCTATTTATATTATATCTTTTATATTCTATTTATATCTATATCTTTTATATCTTATTATATTCATATCTTTTATATCTCTATTTATATTATATCTTTTATATCTCTATTTATTATTCATATCTTTATATCTCTATATCATATTCATATCTTTTATATCTCTATTTATATTCATATCTTTATATCTCTATTTATATTCATATCTTTTATATCTCTCTATATTCTATTTTATATCTTCATAT